ACACACACACCCGCGCGCGCAGAGACCTGCGCTGCGCGAGAGTGCTCGCGCAAGGTCTTGCACGGTTGCCCAAGACTGAAAGGAACTAACAGTTACACCGGAAAAAACACAACAGTATTGCCGATGCTCTATAATACACATACATGTACCTACACCAGAGCATGGGTGCCTTAACAACAACTAGAAAAGGGCTCTGAGGTATTATTCATACAAATATCATCAGGAACCATGAGGAATAGTATTGGGGAGCGCGATCGCCTGCCCGATAACCACACAGACAATCTTAGAGAAGACAGCACCAAGTGACCCTAAAGCCTAAAAGTAAAGCCCGAGGCACTTCAAACCCAAGATTCTGAAGCTCTTGTCACAACGTGGATTATAGTGCCCCCGTTTGGAACCGGAGTCCTCCACGCTCACAGATTGTGGCCGTTCCTGCGGCGCCCAGGTAACCGCCGGGGCTGAAGAGACAGGTTGCACGCGCCGCCGAAAACACATCCCAGCATCGAGGTTGCTTCTATCGATTCGGGTTTGGATGGGTTTACGGTTTGGGACTTACGGTCCAGCATTTTGATGCCGGGGGGGGGGGTGACCCACTTCCTACTCACTACTCAATTGTGCTCGATTGAGTTTGCAAGCGCGCTTCACGTTCAACATTTTCAAGAGGCCGACCCTGGTCAAGCGAAAAAACTCGACCCAACACACCCCACAGCCTACAAGAGACTCATGTCACCCACTCATTCTCTGCATCCAGAGCACTATACAAGCCCTAAACCCCTAAACCCTACCCTCAAACCTCAAGCATGGATCTCCCAAACCCCCGAACCCGAAACCCCACATCCAGAAGCCCCGAAAGTCTGGAAGTGCCAGCTGAGAGCCCAAAATGAGCGGCAAGATCCTGATTTCCGAGAGACGCAAGATCCCAAGGCATGGGTGCTCCGATATCCTTTAGATGTGGGGGTTGAGAACCCTAAACCCTAAACCCCAAACCCCAAACCCTCATTAGAGCTTCAGGGTTGAAGCTCTAACCCCCTAAACCGTTTAAAGCAACAAAACCCTGCCTGGAAGGATCTGGAAGTCGTAGGTCACTGCCGGAACACCTTTTTCCTGTCGCAGAGCCCTTTTTCAGCTAAGCTTAGGGTTTAGGGTTTACGGTTTAGGGACCCCCCAAAAAAATGTGTAGAGGCAATGGCCTTTTACAGGTCCTGGACCGTTATTAATGCCTAATTCGGAAGGTTTAGGTCAGCTGGATTCTTGCAAAGACATAAACGGCGCACCATAGATTGTAAGTGCAGGTTCTTGTTCGCTGAAAGGGTTTGTGGAGGCCCCCCCCTACTCGGCAGCCATGAATATACCTACAGTTTCGGGTTTATAGGGTTTAGGGTGTAGGGTTTTAAGGGTTTAGGGCTAGTCTCCACTGTTGTTCCTTCTTTTATATTCAACATCCTCCTATAGTTTAGGGTTTCGGGTTTAGGATTTAGGGATAGTCTCCATTGTAGTTCCTTTTTTATATTCAAGATCCTATATTCAAGATCCTGGAAGGTAGCCCCAACAAGGAACTTACAATGACGACTATGGGTCGCAGCATTATCGAACGACAGAACCCTTCGATGTGAGTAGCACAAGAAGCTGCATGCATGATTGGACAGTACCTTAAGGACCAAAGGACCCTTAAAAGTAGGGGCCCTATACCCTTTTACTATGAATCCCTATATGGTATATGAACCCTAAACCCTTTTAGGGCTCTACCCATGGGCCCCTAAGTAGTTCCTTTTTATGACTTATATTTAGAATCCTATAAGGTAATCCCAGAAAGGAACTACTTAGGGGCCTTTGGGTAAACCCTTGCATTCTAGGTCTCCGTTCTTCTACGGATGTTCCGCGCTTGAACGGGGTTCAGGCTTAGGATTCTGAAGGCTTTTTGCCCTAGGGTCTCTGCAGGGCCCTGCATAAAGATTCGGAGATGTGGCTGGGGGGTTTAGGCTTTGGCTTAACTATACCCTGAACCCTAAACCCTGAACCCTAAACCGTTGAATGGAACGGGTTAGGCTAAGCTATACCTTCCGAAGGTTTCCAGTTTGCTTGATACGAGGGATTCAGTTTCCTGGATGCTGGGATACATTCGACGATGAGTTTTTGGTGCAATACCCATCGGCTCTATAGTAGTCCCTTTTTGGGGTTAGTATTTAGGATCCTATAAGGTAATCCCAAAAAGGAACTACTGAGGAGCCTATGGGTATCGGGCATATAAGGGCAGCGGGGGAGTGCCTACGTCACCGATGCCTTTCGTGGTAGATTCCACGTGCCTCTTCAGGGGTTTCAGGGTTGACTTACAGGCTCAACTGTCCCGTAGTTCACGCTGAACTCCAATCTCAGGCCCTAGGAGGACTTCTATGGGCAGGTTTAGGGTTTAGGATTTAGGGTTTCCTAAAAGGTTTCGAGCCTAGGGTTTGGGGTCTAGGGTTTAAGGTTTAGTCGACATTCTTGGTTCAGGGATGTCCGGAACGCTTTGGGTTTGTATGATTTTGAGCCTTGGGGGGGGGCCCGAGCCCATGCAGGTCAGACCGCAAGCCTGCACGGAACCATGCTTGCAAATCCCTTCAGCTCTGCGTAACCCTTAACCCGCAAACCCTAAACCCTGTGACCCTAAACCCTTAAACCCTATAACCCTGAAACCCTATAACCCTGAAGCCCTAAACTCTCAAGCCCTTCTAAACCCCTATGAACCCTAACCCATGGTCTCCATGCCTACACCTTCAAGGGGGACCTATCAGCTCTCCAACGAAACCCCAGCCTGACCCTCTGAAACTTGCAGCTCCAGGCAGAAACAAGCAACGCAATGCAGGGCCTAACACTAACTAGAACAGGGTTTTGGGGGAATATTCTACTATATGATATTTGGGGTACATGTATACTATATTACCCTGGGGCTCCGCGCCCTCATATTAATGATACTCAGTTATGTTGCCATATTTGCCGCACGTTGACATGAGTGTAAATTTCCTCAACGCAGGGTCAATATATGGTACAATATATATAATTTATAATATAGTATCTTATATAATAATATTATATATATATATTATAATATGTACTATAATATATATATATATTATAAATTATATATAATTAATATATTACATATACTAATTATATCGTATATTAAATATATTTATTATTATACTAATTAAAACAAGAACCCTAGATCCTTACATAAGCCCACTTCAACTCAGTTCACCCGGGCCCCGGCCCAACACAAAGCAGACTGAAGAACCCAGGTCGCAAGAGTTTTTTAGGACTGTTCAAGATTGAAATCGTGTGCTTTCAGCTTGCAGGGGTACTTTGATATTTCCGTGTTCGAATCGTAAGCCGGGAGATGCTGCAAATTTGTGAAGCCATTCAGATTGCAGCTCAGTCCGATGATCTTGCATGCGATGCATCGACAGTGGCCGCATGAGATGGCTTGGAAATTGCAAAATTGACCAAGGCATCCAGCATTTACCTCCTTATTCCAAATTTTAAATCCCCCCCAACCCGAGACTTAGAATATTGCTGCAAGTTGTGCTGATTACCACGGTCGTAAGCTTCTATCCTCGAACTTGCGTTGGGTATTGGTGTTGCATGATCGAGAACATGTGGTGATGGCCACATATCTGGCCATGGATGCGGCGTCGCATCTTTGCACAAGAGTATGGAGGTGCGACCGGCCTAGATATGAAAACTGCATTGTTCGAATTCATGTACATGAAGCAAAATTCTAAAGCTAGATGGTGAGCTGCAGGGGGATCCTCTAGATCGCGCTCCTCCAGCCGTGTTCTACCTGAACATGCCGCTTCCGGCAGTACTGGCCCTTCAAGTACTTTGAGAACGGACCGAGCTGATGATGATGATGATGATGTACTTTTTGCTGCACGGTTGGAAGCAGATCCAGCGTGGGACTGCAAAGGTGTGCACCCCCCCCTTTCCGCTGCTGTGGGCTGTGGCATTCATGTGCGTCTGTGTGCATGTTTTCGGCATGGCTGAAAGTACCTGCTTGATTCATGTCCAGGCTTGGAAGCCTCTTCTTTAGTTTTCCGGGGCAGCTGGAGCCAGGCTGCCGATGTCAGGAAATCTAGAAGGATATCTAGAGGGGCCTAGCAGCCTAAATTCGGGGTTCGATATGTCTACCATGGCAGCAGCCCGTGCCGAGCATCGTTACACACAGAAGCTCCTGCTTCAAGCTGCTTGCAAGCAATGTTGTTGAGAGGCACCGGTTATATAGTTGTTAGAGTGGTGGCTTTCCATTTTCGTAGTTCCCGCTATATTTTGCAACGTCTGAGGATCTTTTGAACCAGTACCTCACAGAGGACCCGAACCGCCTGCCGCAGATCCGAAACATGAAGGCCCGTTTTTTCAAAGTCGATAAGATCCAAGCCCTAGACATCACTTCCGTATTTTCAGTATTGCTGGCTGGCAAGTTTAATCAGGGCTTGAGGGCTAGAGGGTTTGCGTCTCAGATAGGTTCAGTTGCTACAATATTAATACTCAAATTGGAGCCTCACTTTCTCTTTCGCTGCAGGCTCGGCCAATCCTGGACGTGCCACCCGACGCGAGTGTCGACTCGACACAGATGGTGTGAGACTAAGAGTGAAACGCAATTGCAACAAAACCTAAAATAAGAATCGATATGCGATAGCCTTTCGGCAACTAAACTCGCTAGACCCTGCACACGAAGCCTTAAGGAATCCCGGTGTGAGTTTAAGTCCCTGCAGCTGGAGCAACATTGCCGCTTCTTCTGCAACTACTTTGCCACGTTCAGCACTGACTTGCCGTGGATGTCCACGCATCAGGACTGCATATGTAATCATAAGATCCCAACGAAGCATTACAACAACTGAAATTCACAAGCTGGGGTGCAGGAGGTGCTGGTGCTGCTTGCCAAACGTTATGCGGTTTGGCCAGCGAAAACGAAGGCCAAGATCATTCGTGTACTTAGGCTGCACATAAATACTGAATATATTTCTAGTACCGAACACTCCGATCCCAGGATTGGGCATGCAATGAGGCCGCGATCATCCGCAGCGCGGCAGCGCACATGCTACTCCTGGCGAAACGTTCCAAGGGATCCAGGAGATGATTTTAATTACTTAACCAGGTTGATTATTCGGAATTCAATAATTCGACACCCATGTTTAAACTTTGGGCTCTCGCAAGAGCTAGGAGCGAGCGGATTGGTGTCCTCAAGGAGATCATTCGACAGACCATCCGGGATGAAGGCTTGCATTAACTTCGAGAAATAGATAAACCACCGGATTTCCATTGTGCAGGCCTGGCCGATGAAGACGAAGCCATCGAGAAAGCGATTGGAGAGGCAGCTTGCGAAGATGCCTGGGCTGTTTCTAGATAGCATGCAGCAGTAAGTTCTGGGCTAAGTTGTGGGGTATTAGGGGACGAGTATCTTGAGTTATCTTCTTTCGAGAGTTTTGGGCTGGGGGCTGCTCTCTTTTTATTGCCAAATGGTATGCATCTGCTTGTTTAATCTGCAGGGTATATTGCTAGTGGATGAGACTCACCACTCACTAGTTGGATTGCCTGGGGTTCGCCGTTGTTGCATCTGCTGGGTTGATTATTGGGGCTTGGGCTGTTATTCATTAATGGGCAATACTAAAATTGCACTTCTGCTGGGGAAGCTGGGTTCGGGGTCACCCGGGAGTTGAATACAAAGCTTGATATCGGTCCAACCAACACAATATCTCTAGATGCATGTATATGTAGATATATGTGAATATGACTATTATATTGGGGAGATAGCTCGATAGATAGATACATAGATAGATAGATGGCGATAGGTAGATAAATCAAGCTTGTGAAGCCCCGCTTTTAGGTTACGATGGGCTGCCCGTTGTCAGTAGATACTTGAGGGTGGAGTCTTGTGTATATAGGAGAGGTAAACTTAAACATAAAGGTTCCAGCCCTGACCCTTACATCAATCAGAAGATGTGCCCAGGCTATGTCGCCGACATCGGATGCATCGGACAACGATGTTGCTGCTTCGTGGCACAGGAGATAGTAGATCTGTCAGGTTTTGCGATCTAAGCTTCGACGTTCGGCTGCTTGATGTTAGGCCCGTGATCTGGACGACGATCAACCCGATGCCTACATTATCATGAGAATTGGATTTAAGAAACTACGCCAACAGTATACGAGTAGTTTCAAACCCAGTCCCTATATTATTTCCAAAGTAGACGTGTCTCACGACTAGGCAACCACTACTTAAATAATATTATGCAACTATATACTGGTTAAATATTTAAGCCGCAATTTAATATTCACACGACGAACCCCGAACACCCAAACTTAACATGACCCGATGACTCCTCGAGATGTAGATCCAGATCTGTAACAGCCCGAACCCATGCTAGGCCAAAGTCCCGGTCCCTGCTCGATGCCACTGCAGGCTGTGGCTACGCCTTTGATGGTAAGGGCACGGCCACTGCTGGTGGAAGATACCGGGGAGCGAGCTCGGGGAACTTTGGGATTTCGGCTTCAAGTACTTAAGGCCAGATGTCAGGGTGAGGGACATGTGATTTAATTCGGGATTAAAAAGACACCAATACCCAAAAACATGCTCGGATACCACGGCAGGAGGACTCGCAACTTCAAGAGCCTGAGCCTGCTGTTGATGAGGCTTGCCTGCAACTGCAAGTGTTTGAAGAGTGCTAGGTGGCAATTGTGGTTGCATTTAGAACTGCAGGCTCCCTCACTGAAGCCCCCAACGATGCAGACTGCTAGTGCTGGCCCGGTCCCTTGGCATCCTTTCCACTACTCGAATAAATCCCTTAAACCCCTAAACCCTAAACCCCTCAACCCTTGGATCAAATCGCTAGCTAGCATCTGAGGTGATCGACCCGTCAACATTGGAGACACAGCTAGCTGAGGATGTTATTATGGCGTCCCCCGAGAAGCCGGTCGTCAAGGCCGAGGATCGGCGCCAGGCGGCAAAGGATACCTGGGGATCGGTTTAGGGTTTAGCGTACAGGGATTAGGGTTGGGGGGTTTAGGGTTTAGGGGTTTAGGGGATTTGAGTTCGGTAGTCGTAACAGCAGCAGGAGGGCCGCCAAGCGATCCAATGCAGCGAGCCCGAAGCAGTACCACGATCCCTTGAAGATCAAGTCGCGAAGGAATTAGGGGCTGCTACCCAGGAGGGAGGGTTGTCCAAAGCCCAGCACAAGGCAAGCGTCATCTTGTTTATGCTCGTACTCCTATATGCTGTAGATCTAGAGACAAGGTCTGCAGGTTTAGGCCAAGTCTTGGGAAGGTGAGCCAGGCAGCACGCCAGGCAGCTGCAGAACCGGGTGCACAGCATGTCCGAAAGAAGGGCAAGCAGCCACCAGCAGGCAAGGCAAAGGCAAAGGGAAAGGCCAAAAACCAGGCCAAGACGGTGCCTGCTAACGAGCAGCCGGCAGCGGGGCCGGCCGAGCAGCCGGCAGAAGCAGCAGCAGCAGCAGCGCAGCAGCAGAACCAGCAGCCAGCAGCTGGCCCCGCCGAGCCTCAGCAGCAAGGACATGTTGCACGTGACGCCCCCGCCGAGCCGCAGCAGCAAGGACATGTTGCACGTGCCCCCGCCGAGCCCGAGCAGCAAGGACGTGTTGCACGTGCCCCCGCCGAGCCCGAGCAGCAAGAACGTGTTGCACGTGCCCCCGCCGAGCAGCAGCGAGGATCCGGACAGGCTGTAGGTGGCCCCGCCGAGCCGCTGAAGATCATTCCTGGTTGGGCAAAAGCCGTCATCTGGCATATTAAACTTAACTAGGGGGTGCCCCTGTACCAATCACGAAACCTGAAATATCATCGCATCCCAGGTGGACCTGCTTAAGATGTCTGGGGTACCGATTCCGGAGAATTTCCACGGTCAGCGCAAGAGCTATACCCTCCCCAGCCCCAATGGCACAAGCTCGATCTCTGTTCTGCTGCTGGGTCGAATATACTAGTCTGCAATCTGGTGCAACATGCTACTACTTATCTAGATCTAGTTCTTCCGAGGTGGCACGAGGGCCAGCTCTACGTGATGCAAGCTGAGACAAACACGTGCACACTCGTGAGTGGAGAGGAGCGAGAGCAGAAGAAATATCCTGTCAATAAGAAAAATGGGATCTGCCTCGCTGTCAAGAAGAATGGCGGTTGGCATGCATCCTGGTTTCTGGCCCGGCAACTGGCTGGTTGGATCCCAAACACTGGGTCCCTCACCTGAATCCTGATGTAATTCTTTGAACATTTATGACATAAAACCCCTGCCGAAATCATACGACATATCAGGTACTGATGATGGACGCTGAGCTGGAGATGGATGCTTTATGCAAAGCTGCAATATTGGAGCTGAGATTTTGTTTATGGCTGTGACAGCTCTAGTTAGCTATAGGGTTCTAGTTCTCGGGCTAGAGCACCATGAAGGCTTGCAAAAGTTTCCATTAGGACTGCAGAGTAGCCCAGGATCCCGGGCTTCACTTTTAGGGGCTCGTTCTAAGCTGAGTTAGTTTAGTATACATAAGATGCATTACGATTGAGAAACCTATGTTCGAAGTACCAATTTTATTGAGAAGCCTACCGGAGCTCTAGCTTGGGCAGCAGCATGTAAAGCACATGCGAGTCTTGACTGCGACCTCTCTGGGGAGTGCCGATAAGAAGCCTGCTGCATGCATGCGCATGCATATATGTGCATGAACTGTCGTTGCATACATACCATGGATTCTGAGCTTCTGTGCTGAAGGTTTTGATTGTAGCCCTGTGGAGCTACCTAATTAACATAGGGTGCCTCAGCAATGCCGACCACTCCTCGAAGGCCCATTTCAATGTCTGCCAGACAGGCTGCTTTGTTAATGGCCTACGGTGCCCCAATGATCATGTGTTTCGTCTGCAGTACCTAATATGTCATGTCAGTAATTGAACACATATATGTACGTGACATGCATGCCTCTGCGGCTCCCAGGCTGTCCTCCATCGACTTCCTGATTCAGACCAACACGGCGGCTCGGACTATGCCAGAAGAGCAGCAGTTCACGTGGTGGCGAGCGCCCTGGAACAAGTTACACATGCGATATGCCGAACGCAAGCTGCTTGCATCACTTTCTAGCGGTGTCCTTGAGCTTTCGATCAAGGATGTGGATGTATTGGAAATGTTTGCCGGAACATGTGTGCTGGCGAAGTCATTCCGAAACTTGACAAGACGTCTGCTCTAAATCTTACCACTCACTCATTGTCTCCCTCTCTCTCTCTCCCTCTCACTCTCTCACTCTCTCTCACACTCTCTCACACTCTCTCACACACACTCTCTCTCTCTCTCTCTCTCTCTCTCTCTCTCCCTCTCTCACTCTCTCACTCACTCACTCCCTCTCTCTCTCTCTCTCTCGTCCCTGTCCGGTCTGTTCTTTCCTCCTCTCCTTGACCAATGCAGGCGAGGCCCAATACCGTGTGCACTGCACTCAGCATCCTGAGCACAGGTGTGCTTGCACATGTTTGTACTTACAGAGTACAGCAGATTCTATGCCATGTACGCACTCCCTAGGCAGACATACGATATGGTTCTCAGACCGGAAACCAATAATATCCTCACGACGACGGGGTTCCTGGCGGCACTGCGCGACGTGCTACGGGTTCGTGCAGGAGGGCTTGTGTGGGCCGGAGTGCCATGCAACACGCAGCTGGGATCTAAGAGGGTGCCAGGTTAAGGATATATGTGTGATAATTTTAGGGACAATTAATAAAGAGCATCGCACCTGTGCTTTCCTAAACTCAACTAGAGCAGGATGGATTAAACCGAACTACTAGCAGTGTACGTATATATATATATATACATATAAGTATACATGTATATACATATATATATATATATTTATATTTATTTATGTGTGTGTGTGTATATGTATATGTATATGTATATGTATATGTATATATGCATACATATGTATATATATATGTATATATAGACTTCATAATGCTTATACATATATATATATACATATATAATGTTATTTGTGAATGAAGTGCCTACCCTTGCAGCACTTTCTTCCTGGTGTCGACATTTGCGATTACATACTACAGGGCAGCCAGTTGATTGTGTAAACAAATATATATGTAGGAGTTTGGGATAGTGTCGGAGCCTCCGCTTGAATTACACAACCCCTAGAGTTAAGCCTGAGGTGGGTGTGGATTTCCAGTAGCATCACGAAGCGCTTCGACAAGAATGTTGGTTCAATCGGCGATGTTGCACGTTCCTGTGTAAGGGATGCAAACATCATTGCATCCCGCACCCTGCTGCTATTGATGGTTGCAGTAGCAATTGGGGTTGACATCATCGTGCCTCCACAGCATTTAATTTATGTCTGATGTTGCTGACCTAGTCAAACTCTACGCGAGCATGAGTTTTATAAGGTGGAGCAACCAGCTTCTTCGAGACTGAGATATTTCCCACCGTTTCTTCGGATGAGGTGCCTGGGAATTGAAACGTTTCTGGTCAAAACGTGGGGGCCTCATAAATGCAGTGTCCTAATTTCACATTTACAGTGCAGGGTTTCAGGGGAAACTTTAGACGGAGTGTGCTAGTGTCCAGCATGTTACTAAGATGGCTCGGAGAGTTCGGGCACTGGGCTCCAAAGCCTACATGGTTATTTGGTACTCCGCAACTTGTCCGAATCTGCCACGACCTTGACGAGCACTAGCCGCGTCTTAAAATAAAGTCTTACTGCATCAGCTCAGGAAGTACATGCTCCAGCTCAAGAAGACAATTAGCAAGGCAACCCGGCAGTCCTTAAAAGGAAACGCTAAGGGTATGGTCACCAGAGTCAAGAAGAATGGCAAGGAGAAAGTGATTCTTGGCGGCTCATATGTCTAGTCTAGACTTGTTTAAATGTATATGACGATGTACTGTACTCTGAATCATGCACAAGGACTGGAGGCCCTCAGCTGAAGGCTAGTGGTTCCTATCCAAAGGGCTTCTGTGATGCAGTCCGGGATCTCTTCACAGCGGACCAGGCAGCCAGCAAAGAGCTTCGGCAACCTAGTGGTTTTCCGTGGGTCTGGGTTTGTTAAGGGTGTGATCTAGCTTATTTAGGACAGCTTCTGGCTAGGGGTTGAGGTTTTCGGAGGTAAGGGCTTAGGGCTTAGGGTTTTATGCGGTTTTGGGGTTTCGGGTTTTAGGGCTCAGGGTTCGGGGTCCTGCTCCGCCTCTGGATTTCGGATTTAGGGTTGCTTTTGGATGGGGGTTTGGAGCCTGGGGTCTATGGGTTTTGGTACTAATTAGTGCTTCTAGGCTTCAGTGCTGTTGCATTGCCAGGCATGGTGCATAGTTAGGACAACACCATGATTAAGGAGTGCTGGGGGAATTCAGGAGTACTGGGCTCGGTTAGAAGGAATCCCCAGACGACCAATCGAACATAACACCGGAAACCCGAACCACAGGTCAGGCACGACCCGAACGAAATCTCAGCCATCCTAGAACCCAGAGCGCAATCCTACACCCTGGACACCTATAGCTATAGACCATCCCTAACCCTAAACCCTAAACCGGGCCTAGACCGCGAAACCTAACACCATACGGTCATAGCAGTGAAAGTCCAGCCTGTCGAGGACCATCACAAGTCTTTATTTAAATTTGGAGGTCCACTCGAGAGCTCCTGCCTAGTAATTGAAACACGACCCCCAAACTTCGATATAAGGTTATAGATAAATAAATATATATGTAAATCTATAGGTTCAACGATCCAGTATCTTGTGCTACTATATATATATATATGTGCCGGGATTGGAACGCTAGCCTGCCCAGGAGGCCTCGAAAACTTCGGGACCTCATGTCCTGGCATCCGCAGCAGTGATCGAGGAAATGGATGCCGAGTTCGACTTGTTGGTGGCTCAGGTTGGTTGGGTTGTGGCCTGATGGCAATTCCTATACCTTCACTTCTATTTAAAAGCTACTATATGTACACTATGTATACACTACTGTATACCTGCTGCTGCTGCTGCTGCTGCTGCTACT